GTAGTTGGTAATTCTAACCAACTAGAAGCAAAATTAGCCAAATGCAATAACTTGAGAATGATGTCTAATGTTAGTTTATTCTTTTGAATACATTAAGCTTTCTAAAGTGTATCTCTAATAAACTCTTTATATTTCTCTTTCTCTTTAATTTCTATGAGGTAACGCAATGTTTTAGTTGTAATTGATATTCCAATTACAAGAAAAAAAAAAATAGAGCAATGACAGTAGATTAAAAAATGAAAAAGAAAGTATACAATTGATAGTAATTTGGCTTCACTTGTTAAGCAATCTACAATACAAAGTTAAACGCGTTCAAGTTAAATAATATTTCAACGAGTACTATTAAATGATTTTAGTAGTGCTATGCACCAGTTAATATGGTATTAGAACCCATGGTATATAGTTGATTAAAATAAAAAGTTATAATTTTTAATCAATTGTAGATGTAGGTTAATGGCACGTAGTTGCTTAACACTAATGCAAATAAATAACATTTTTCTCTATTTTGTCAATTGGACAAATTTGGTGAGATGTAGCAATTGTCTCTAATCTTTATAGGATTTTGCTATATGTATATCAGGATTTACATAAGAGATTATATAATATTCATAGGACAATTTACCATTGGTCTGTTAAAACATAGTCAACTTTTTTATTCATTCTTTCCGTTCCACATCATTTTCGGTAATCGTTTATGTATTATTTTTATGTATAAGTAGCAAAATTCATCTTTTATATTTTGACATTGAATTCTCAACCTTTTATAAATTAGCGGGCAACTTCTTAATAACAAATTCAATCCAAATTCTCTATTATGGAATGTGGGAAAAGGATTTTACTACTTGTACGTAAGAATGACACATAAGCGGTTATCGAAAATAATGTAGTCAACTTTTTCATTCATTCTTTCCACTCCACATCATTTTCGGTAATTGTATATGTACCATTTTTATGTACAAGTAGCAAAATTCATCTTTAGATTTTGACATTAGTATTCTCAACCTTTTATAAATTAGTGGGCAACTTTCAAATAACGATTTCAGTCCAAATTCTCTATTATGGAATGTAGGAAAATGATTTTATTACTTGTACGTAAAAATGGCACATAAGCGGCTATTGAAAATGATGTAGAGGGAAAAAATGGATGAAAAAGTTGACTGTGTTCTAAACTGACAAATGATAGAGTGCAATGTGAACATTATGTAATTCCTTATGTAAACTTTGATGTATTTGTAGTAAGATCCGTAAGAAAAACCATCAATCTACACCGAATTTCACCCGCAAATTCCATGCCTCCACTGTTCCTGGTAGGATTTTGCTTATATAATCCATATTTGTGTGTGTTAAAACTTGTGGTTCCATTTTAAAAGGTCAATATTATTAAGAGGAGTAGTCCAAGACCTTCTAAGTGGTCTATATTTTCATCTTTAATTGATGTGTGATTTTATCCTTTAACATGTCCCTGTAAGATGATGACTTGTTTTAAGCAGACCAATCTTAATATTCGTATGTTCATTTATTGAGTCTTAATCGGATAGAATGGCTTGTTGGAGTTTAATGAGTTCTGACATCATGTTAAGACTTGAAATTCCATCTTAAAAGATTAATTTTAATCAATGTGTGATTTTATCCCTTAACATATCCCCGTAATATGGTGGCTCGTTTTGAGTAGACCAATCTTAAAATCAATATGCTCATTTATTGAGTCTTAATTAAATCGAATAGCTTGTTATAGCTTAATAGGCTCTGATATCATATTAAAACTTGATGTTTCATCTTAAAAAATTAACCTTATTAAGAGGAGTAGTCCAATACCTTATAGGTTGATCTATATTTTCATCTTTAATCGATATGAGATTTTATCCCCATGTTCAAATTATACTTCACCTTCTGTTGTAGGTTGGCCGATTATGATGGAAGCCGCGGATGGGCAGACAAAGTCTTGTGGGTTGAAGAAGACGATAGTAAGTTGTTTCTTTCTTTCATTTTGGTATTTTATGCATCGACTCTTTTGTTGATGGGTATTGTAGATGGAGGATAAGGAGAATCAGGCAATTGCTGTTTTCCAGGCTTTGCAAGGGAGGTTTTATTCGTCTCGGTCTATTATTGTGGATTTTTCTCTCGTGATTGGTTTTTATGAGGCTATGTGCAGGCATTATGAAGAGGATAATTGTAAGCGTCGTAGGTAATATAATTTTATGCATGTGAAAATGATTGGAAGGCAGATGTTGTTTGGGAGCATAGTTATTGAACCCGACCCGACTCTTGACCTGGTCAAGGCATCGGGTCTTGAGTTGCTGGTCGAACCGATGTGTTAGTGGTTAAACCGGTGGGTCAATACTTAATAATTATAAAATATTTTTTAAAGTATAAAGTTTTTCTTTTAGATAAAACAAAAAAAAAAATTATCTATTATTAATTATTTATATACTTATATATTATTTTGTTAAATATTCAATTCATGTAAATCAAAATAGTTACTATAATTTTTTAAAATTTTTTTTAACAAACTATAAATGATTTACATATATATAATTATTGCAAATACACAACAATAAACGCTTGATCTATAGTGGTTAGTTGATACTCATTTAACTTAGATGTCTGAGGATCAAGTCCTTTTGAGAACAAAAAATTTATGGACAAGTTTTTAAATCTTAGTCAAACCAGTCAACCGACCGAGTTAATATAAAAATCGCCAGTTAACTCGATCAACTCGACGAGTCAGCTCGATTTTTACCGAGTCAGTTCCATATTTATAAAAATATTCTACCCGACCCGATCAGGGGCCTAAGTTACGGGTTTTCAAGGGAAGCAGAAGCCACAGCATGAGTTTGTCCATCTTTCAACTCTGCTTGCCGACGACGGTGCTGAGGTTGGGTGACAGTGTTGGTGACTGATTTTTCGAGGGTGGGGGGGGTTTGTGAAGGAGACAACCTTTTTTTCTCTATCTTTCTTGGTTTTTTTGATTGTTTATCTCATATGATAATTATAAAATCATCATTTTATTCCTTTCAATTTGGTCAAATCTACTTTTCTTAGTCAATTAAGTTTTCATCCATATGAATTTTAGTTGCTAATTTTTCAAATGTTTGGAACCTTCGATACAAATTAAAGATCAGGATAAAGTCTATTAACAATCCAAATATTTGGAACCGATACTACAAATTTCCCCCTTTTTTCTTTGGCTCTTAAGATTGTAATTTGCACATTTCTTTCTTAATAATCTTGCAACGGTTTGTCGTTTATCCAATGAACGTAGGCAATTTATTCACCTAGAGGGGGTGGGTGGGTGGGGGGGGAGGGGTGGTTTTTTTTTTTTGGGGGGGGGGGGGTGGGGTTTGTGAAGGAGACAACCTTTTTTTCCCTTATTTTCTTTGATTTTTTTTTTCTCTATTTTTCTTGGTTTTTTTGATTGTTCATCTAATATGGTAATTATAAAAATCATCATTTTATTCCTTTCAATTTGATCAAATCTACTTTTCTTAGTCAACTAAGTTTTCATCCATATGAATTTTAGTTGCTAATTTTTCAAATGTTTGGAACCTTCGATACAAATTAAAGATCAGGATAAAGTCTATTAACAATCCAAATATTTGGAACCGATACTACAAATTTCCCCCTTTTTTCTTTGGCTCTTAAGATTGTAATTTGCACATTTCTTTCTTAATAATCTTGCAACGGTTTGTCGTTTATCCAATGAACGTAGGCAATTTATTCACCTAGACATATTCTAGTAAGGTAGTGGAAGAATTGTACAATGACTATCAAATTGTACCAGAAGAGTCAAATGGAATTTTCTCCAATATTTGCTCAAAATTAGGTGGGATTTAAGACTCCTGTGCTATGGAAACTGGACCTCCTCATTGAGAAGATAATCCGCCTACTTCTCCATCTATCCATTCCGCTATTTCCGCATTTAACATTCCACTCTAGAAAAAGTGGCAATTGATATTTATTGCCCTATATTCTGAGCTAAAATACCACCAATATAAGTAGTCAACTTCCCAACAATCACTCAAAGAGGAAGTACACTGCTCTTTCCTTTTAAAATTTATGTTATTGGCAAAAATAGTACGTTTTTACTAAATTTTCTGGCCTAGCTTCTTTGGCTACCACAAAAGGGCACGCCAGGCAGTACATAATTTTTTTAATATGAACCCATTTATTTTTAGAGTGTTGAAGCCCTCCAAAATACACACAAACATGTGGGCCTGATTTTTTTGGCAATATTTAATTTACATGTATCCCACCTTTCATGTGAGCATATGTATCACTTCTGTACAAATAATTTTTTCCTTATTTTGAAAATAAATCACATAACTAAAGCTATTTTTAACATAAGTCGTTCCACTTATGCAGACTTTTCTAATTAAAAGCTTCAAACAAACAAAATAAGTGAACAATTTGATTCCTTGCAAATAGGAAATTTGGACGAGTACGGAAACTCAGGATGAGCGTTTTAATGCTTAAGGTATTAGATAACCTTTTTCAGGCACAAAAAAGAAAGTCAAATTTAATTTTTTTCATGTATTTGGAAAATTTACTTATTTCAAGACTAACACAAAAAGAATTGCTCATTTCGAAAACAGGGATAGTTTGAAAATTTTGCTTGAGCAGATATTCCAAAAGGGGTGATGACAGAAAACAGAGAGCCTTCTTGAACCAAGATTGCTTCAATATACTTGTCCCTTTTCTTGCCTTGTTTCCATTATTGGAATTCTACTAATAATAAACTAGTACGATAGGTTGATGGTACTTCACATCAACTCAATCTGACCAAGATAAACATTTTAATTTGTAGAACACATAAAATAGTTTTGGCAACTCCAATACAGGAGGGACCTAATGTTACCTTTAATCACTCGTTGACCAGTAAGAGTTTATCTCTCTCTTTCATTTACGAAATTTATCCCCGAAACGATAATTCGAGAAGAAAAAAGGAACTAAACTCCACGCCCTGCAAAACATTCTACTAAATCAAGAATAAGCACTCACCATTGAGCCAACCGTATCAAAACATACAACTTGAATTTAACTTGGTGTAAAGCATAGTTGATTACAGAGTTTACACACTCAGAAAAATTCTAAATGAAGCGTGCCAACAAGTGTTGGGCAATGTCCAACAAAATTAAAAAAGCCCTTCTCTACTTAGCTACAAGACTCCACTCCATCCTCCTCGAGGGACTTATCAGACGCTTAGTTAGTGCTTACACTGAATCAAGAAGGCACAATGATCTTCACGAATAAGACAACAAATATGACTGGCACATATGTTATGTCTGCTACCAAGAGTGTATATGAATATGCAGAGAAAAAAACTGGACCTTCTAGGTCAAACGATTGTGTGGGAGAGAACCAGAACTGGCATAAGAGGCAACTTATACGTCTGATAGGACTCTAAAGTGCAATGTTTATAGCAGCTTCTGTTACTCGTCAACCTCATTCTTAGTCGTGCCACTTTGTTGTTGAGGAGGACCAGAGGTTTTCGGATACCCACCAAAATCTTTCTTTCTAGGCTTTGCGAGTTCAACATATAGTACCCTGCCATCAAAGTACTAACAGGAGAAAGAAATATTGAAAAAAGTAGAGTTCTTGAACTCAAAATCAATATGCAATGAATACTTTACAGAAAACAGAAATACGCATATAAAACCTCGTGATCCATGCTTTCTAGAGCTAGCATCGCATCTTCTTGTGAAGCATATTGAATAAAAGCAAATCCTTTTGACTTCTTTGTAGCTTCATCCTTCACAAGTTTAACTGCCAGTGGAAGTATGGAAGACACCATAAATAAACTCAAAGCAGATTTCAATTTTATCAAAGTAGAGAATAGAGACGGATAATAGATATTCAATGAAGTATCAAATGTACCTTCAGCTATCTGCCCAAATTTCGAAAATTCCTTCTGCAATCTACTTTCACTAGTGGACAATGGTACATCTGGGTGAAATGTACGACAATTAAAGAGCCAAACCTTAAAATTAAGCACAAAGAGACTTTTCTTTATTTTAACTTCTTAAATAAGTTAAATTAGATAGTGTTTGGCCAAACTCACCCTCTTTTGAATTTTTCAGGATTGCATTTAATAACATTGCAAGTTTAATTGCTCCACTACTTAAATTATATATATTATATTGAATATTTTAGCTATTGACATGCAGCAGACATATATTAATTGAAAAATGAGGGAAATTATAAATGAGTGTTGAAAAATGTAAAATGAAGAACAAAAATAAAGAGTTTGTTGGAGAATTTAAAGATACTCTTTAAAAATAAAGAGTCCATTGGAGATGCTCTTATACATTTAGTAATTGATTAATACAAGTATCTGAAGAGCATATTATTTTTAATATATGAAATTTATTTTGCTAATGTACAAAAGAACAATCACCAATGCATCAATGAGTTTGAGACAGCAGGTGAAAGTGGAGGGGTCAGAATAAATGAAGATCTTAGAAAATCTGCCTCATAGAATGCTAATTGTATCAATGAAGTTCTCGATAAGGGATTTTTACTAAATAGAATATTTACAAAACCTAGTGTTGTCTAATTATAATTTCCCTCAGAATTCCTTTATATTTTTTTTATTTCAGCACTGAATTATATTATATACTAATTATATAGATACCCCTGAATCTCCAATAATTTTATACTAGGCACTATTAAGGAATTTAACTGTAAATTTGTTCAACTCAATTATTGGAAATTTTTCAGAAGTTCACCATGATAAGAGTATTTCTTGTAAAATAATTTAAGCTGGATTTTCTTATCACGACCTGAAGCAAAGAAAATATCAACTTACACAAGATTGTAATATATTTCAATTTGAATTGCCAAGTTCATACAATCCAGAAAATGTTCAGTCAACAAGGTATGCCATTGTATAATAAGCACAAAGTATGCTTAAAAGCCTCACATTTTGTGACACTCGTTTAAGTACCAATTTTTATGAGACGTCTTAGGGATAATGATGTCATCAAAGGTACAGAAATTTCAGGCCACAGTATCTGTGGCAGCCTGGAGCTGTATCTGGCACTTTACATCAAAGGTACTAATAAAATTTGCCTTTCAGCTAGAGCTCTGTTTCTGATTGCAAACAAACACAAAGAGAATATGGCATTTTCTACATTGGAATCTGTCAAGTGAAAAAAAGGCTGTATATAGATTAGGAAAATAATTTGTTTTTTGAAATCCCTTAATTGAAGGGATTCAATTATCTGTCTATCCCTTAATCATAGTGATTTGGAGAATATTCTTTCCATATTTTAGGCTGATTTAGTTTCCTATTTTTCCTCTTGTAAATTACGATATATTGCTGTGTTATTAATGAAAAGTAACAATTTTCCTTCCCACATTTTTGTTTCATGGTATCAGAGCCATCGGCTCCTCTGGGATTTTTTCAGGCAGCCTTCATTGCTGCGGATTTAAGCTCTTTTTTTGGGTTCTTTTCTGGCATATTTTAGCCAGTATTTTGCTTTAATAGCCTTCCTTAAAATCTGATCAGCCAGCCTTAATCACCATGTCAACCTCCAAAATCACCTGCAACCCTAACCCATCAGGAATCCAATTCTGTTCAGAAAATTGGAGAGTAACAGAACATTCGGGCCTCCTACAGATTCAATGGGAAAAACTACCTCAAATGGTCTCAATTTGTCCGAACGTATCTCAAAGGCAAATGAAGACTTAATCATCTTCTTGGAAAAGGACCTGCAAAGGATAAACCAGAATTTAAAGCATTGGATGAAGAGGATTCCATGATAATGTCCTGGCTGTGGGACTCTATGGATCCCATGATTAGCGACACATGCATGTTTTTGGCTACCACAAAGGAGATACGGGACTTCATCCACTGCACATATTCAAAGGCTAATGATGCTGTCCAGGTGTATGATATAAAGGTTAAGACCCCAGCCACAAAACAAGGAGACAAATTGTAAATTGGAATGAAAGAATATATGATTTTTACAATACTTTCTCGCATCTAATTACAATCTTAGAGCCTCAATATATAGCATAGGAAGAGGGACCAACAAGGTAACTTCCTATACATGGAAAAGAGAAAAATTACCTAATCTAAATAAGGTTATACAATCATACACAATCAATTCCTAATTATCCCATAATCTCGGAATATCTACACTCTCCCTCAAGTTGGATCGTAAATGTTGATCACATTCAACTTGCAAACAAAGTCCTCAAAATTCAGTCGTGGCAATCCTTTGATGAAGATATTTGCGATTTGTTTTCCTGTAGGCACATTGGTCATGCATACGGTTCCTTCTTCAACCTTTTCTTTGATAAAGTGTCTATCCACTTCCACATGTTTGGTTCTATCATAGCTGCTTTGTTGTAGAGTTTTATGGGAAATTTTACAATCATCTGTAATTCTTCCAATAACTTTTTTATCCACAATCCTTCGCATATTCCTTGTGCGACAGCTCTAAACTCGGCTTCAACACTACTTCTGGCTACCACATTTTGGTTCTTACTTCTCCAAGTTACCAAATTTCCCCATACAAAGGTACAATAGCCTGTAGTTGATCTTCTATCTTCTATTGAACCAGCCCAATTTGCATCAGTAAAGATTTCTACTTCTTTTCTTTCATTTTTCTTAAAGAAAAGTCCTTTTCCAGTTGTACCTTTAAGATATCTGAGAATTTTGTATACTGCTTCTAAATGGACTTTCTTTGGAGAGTGCATATGTTGGCCAACCACGCTAACTGCAAATGCAATATCAGGTCTAGTGTGTCAAAGATAGATCAGTTTGCCAACTAATCGCTGATATCTATCCTTTTCAACTGATTCTCCTATATTTTCTTCCTTTCTTCTTGTCTCTATTGGTGTGTCACTTGGTTTGCAGCCAAGCATGCCAGTTTTCGTTAGAAGGTCAAGAATGTACTTTCGTTGTGAAACACTGATGCCTGTCTTTGATCTGGCAACCTCCATACCTAAAAAGTATTTCATCTGTCCCAAGTCTTTTACTTTGAACTCCGTGGCTAGGCTCTTCTTAAGCCTTTCTATTTCCACTATATTATCTCCAGTCAGTATGATGTCATCAACGTAAACAAGTAAACTTGTTTTCATCCCTATTTCAGATAATTGGTAGAACATTGTATGGTCTGACTGCCCTTGTTGATATCCTTAACCTCTCAATACTTTAGCAAATCTGTCGAACCATGTTCTTGGTGATTATTTAGACCGTACAAGGATTTTTTAAGTCTACATATCTTATTTTCTTCCTTGCTTTTCATAGAAGCCTGGGGTAATGTAATAAAAACCTCTTCTTCTAATTCTCCATTGAAGAAGGCATTCTTGATGTCTAGCTGTTGGAGGGGCCAATTCAAATTTGCTGCTAAGTACAAGATAACTCGGATTGTATTCAATTTTGCTACAGGGGCGAATGTTTATGCGTAATTAATGTCGTAGGTCTGTGTATATCCTTTTGCAACAAGATGAGCTTTGTACCGTTTTATTGTCCCATCATATTTGTACTTCACATTAAAGACACATTTGCACCCGACGGGTCTTTTCTCCCTTGGTAAATTTACCATATCCCAAGTTTTTTTTTTTCAGTGCTCACATTTCTTTCAAAACTGCTTCTTTCCATTTGGAAGTAGCCATGGCCTCCTGAATATTCTTTGAAATTTCTGTATTATCAAGATTATAAGAGAAAGTGCGAAATCCTGCAGATAGAGTGTTATATGAAACAAATTTTGAGATAGGGTGGAGAGTACATGACCGAGGTTGTTTTCTGAGAGCAATAGGTAGATCACTTTCTGGAGCTATCATCGGTTCAGACTCTTTTGATGCTTCAGATGAGAGGTTCTCCTTATACATTGATTTCGACTTTTTTGAGTAAACTAATCTCCCCTTGCCAACTTGATTTTCAGCATCTCCCCCTGAGTTTAAGTTTACATTTGTAGATGGCACGTTAGGACCAGGAAGAGTGATTGATTCGGTGTTTATGATAGGTTCACTAGGGGAAAGATTAAAGTTGAAGAATCGATCTTGATGTGAGAACCGATCTTCACTCAAAATCTCCCCCTAAAGAGAGGGCTTTTTATAATAAGGGGTTCTTTCGAAAAATGTAACATCGATGCTAACAAATACTTATTTTGTGGATGGATCATAGCATTTGTAGCCCTTTTGGGTAGATGAATATCCAATGAGCACGCATTTAAGTGCACGAGGATCGAGTTTACTTCTGTGATGAGGATGTATGTGAACGAAAGCAGTACAACCGAATATTCGGAGTGGTAAGCTTGAATCAAGTAGGGAATTGGGGAAGAATTCCTGAAATACTTGGAGTGGTGATTTGAAGGAGAGAGTGCGACTGAGCATTCTATTGATGAGATAGGCCAAGGTTAAAATGGCATCTCCCCAAAAGAACTTTGGCATATTTGTGGTGAACATTAAGGCACGAGCCATCTCAAGGAGGTGTTTATTTTTTCGCTCAGTAATGTCATTTTGATGTGGAGTATCGACACAGGAACTTTGATGAATTATTCCTTGTTTTTGGAGATACTCTTTCAATGTGGTATTGAAATATTCTGTACCATTGTCAGTACACAATATTTGAATTTGTGTCTGAAATTGTGTTTGAATCATTGAATGAAAATTTATGAATACGGATCGAACATCTGATTTTTCTTTTAGGAGATAGGCTCAACATATTCTAGTGGGATCATCTATAAATGTTACGAACCATTTTTTGTGCGTTCGATTCAGAATTCGTGAAGGACCACATAACTCACTATGAATTAAGGTGAATGGTTTCGAAAATTTGTATGTAGATTTTGGAAAGGAGGTACGATGATGTTTGGCCAGTTCACAATGTTCACATTAGATATCAAGTGTCTTTTTATTAGAAAACATGGAAGGAAATACATGACGTAATTACTGAAATTGGGATGACCCATTCTAAAATGCCATAACAAAAG